CCTCCAGTTGCGATGTCGCTGGGTCCTTGGCGTTCCCTGTCATGGCCACCTCCATCAGCTCCTCTGGCTGTGTCTCCAGGAAAACGTCGACCTCCCTCACCTCCTTCGTCGTGTCCATAGCCTGGATCGACTGCTCACCACCATCATTTCGTTTGGGTTTCTTAGTGCTCTGCTCCAGAAGATCGAGATCTTCGAGAGGGCATTGCGTTGAGAGCGTTTCCGTATTCTCCATAAAATCCTCGTAGGATTTATTAATTTAGTATCATATTAATTAGTATTAAAATAATACTAATTAATTGGTACAAATACTGGTCTGTTAATTTAATTAGTACTAATTTGTCTGTTAAATCCTTTTGCAATTAGTACCAATTAATTGAATTAGTATTCAGATCTGTTTTCAATTAGTATTTTAATTCAAATCCTCTTCCAACTTGTATTTAAATCCTTTGTAGAGCAACTAATTAGTATTTACAAATTAATATAACACTCGACAAATTAGTTCAAGCAACACCAATTTCCTCCCTAAGCGACTTATGTAGAGACATTCAAATTTGAATACAGAGGGCAATTTAATAAATTACTCGTGTACCTTTAATTCATTAGGAAATGAACTCTTAGAATAAATGAAAAATACCTTTTCCATGAAAAGTACGTACCTTTTCCATAAAAAGTATCATTTATACTTTTTTTTTGAGGAATAAAAAACAATAGCATTAATGAAGATCAACGTACAAAGAGCTAACAATGAAAGAGGGAGGGGAGGTAGTCCACACCCTACGATCAGACATAGAAAGGGATTCCCGAGCTAATAAGTGGGCAATCTGGTTCGCTGATCGTTTAACGAAAGAGATAGGAACATCGGTAAGCGATGATAGTAAATCTTTTACATCAAGGAGAATAAGATCAAATTGAGAATTAAAGTTCTGTGAAATGAGGCCCTGAGTGATCTGTAAAGAATCCGTTTCAACCCGGCAGCGTGTAAAGTGGTTCTCCTTCAACCAGCTGAGAGCTTCGCGGACCGCAATCGCCTCAGCTTCCTTGACTGAATACAGGCCGCACCAAGGTAAACTGGCAGCCGCAACGAAAGTTCCCTGGTCATCTCGCAAAACCCAACCAAATCCCATGCGATTTCTAGAAGTGTTAACAGCTGCATCAACATTGAGTTTAAGCCATCCCTGGTTTGGTTTTTTCCACTTGGTGATGAAATTCGAATTCTGAGGCTGGGAGAACTCGTCCTTGTCTTGAACTGATAGCCATTCTGAGAGGTGGGCTTTGGCTTTCTCCACAATGGTAAAAGGTGAGAGGGAGATATTATTCCATACTCTTTCGTTTCTAGCATACCAAAGATACCAACATATCATTAGCATCAAGCTGCACTGGAATTTATCAAGGTGCTTACTGTTATGTGCAAACCAATCACCAATTGAACCTGCTGCAGTTGGGGATGAAATGTTGATTGAGGACAGACTCCAACATTGAGATGCCAATGGACAGTGGGCCAGAAGATGCAATATATTTTCATCAAAACATAAACACGACGGGCAGACGGGGTTACAGTTTACTCTCTTGGCCCGAAGGAGATCGGCAGTGGGAAGACAAGAAGAGCACGCCTGCCAGAGGGGGGATTCTACACTTCCAGAGGGCTGCCCAATCTTTCTTGCTATCGGATGGTTGCTCACCAAGAAGAGCTCTATAGCAACTTTTAACAGTGAACTGACCACGCTCCTCCCACATCCATATCAATTTGTCCTCCCTACTGGTGATGGGTAAAGGAATGTTGCAGATTAGGGATGCATCTCTATGGTTGAAAATCTCCTGGATGATCTCAGTGTCCCAACTTTGAGAGTGATTATTGAAAAGAGAGGACACCATTGCATCCTGCATGAAGGGGTAAGGAGATGTAGAAACAATAGGATTTGAAGAGTCAGGTAGCCATCTGTCCTTCCAGATCTTGATTGAGTTACCATTCCCAATTCTCCAACGACTGTGGCTTCTAATAATATCTCCATATATAAAAGGGGTTGTTTCCAGCCTTTGCATCGAAGAAGGAGGATCCAGGATAGTACTTTGCTTGATAGACTCTTGCAACAAGAGAGGATGGGTGTTGAACGAGCCTCCAGGCCTGCTTGCAAAGGAGAGCATAATTGAACAAGTCAAATCTTCAGAAGCCAATATCACCCCAGTCCTTTGGAACACACATATTAGACCAAGCTTTCCACCGAATGCCTTTTCGACTGCCGTATTCAGCTCCCCACCAAAAGGCATTAATGGCAGTTTCAATGTCTCTCACAATATCTTTTGGGATATGGAAAACACTCATAGAATATGAAGGGAGAGCTTGGATTACACTTTTGATGAGCACTTCCTTTCCCGCCTTTGAGATGAACTTATGATTCCAGCTGCGAATTTTGTTGAGAACTCTATTCTTTAGGAAACCAAGAATCTCTTTTTTATTTCTGCCAATAAGGGAGGGTAACCCGAGATAAGTTCCAGAATTTCCCACTCCTTCCACATGCAAGATATTACAAATAATGGATCTCAAGTTGTCGCTGACATTCGGGCTAAAGAACAAAGAAGATTTGTTGAAATTGACAAGTTGACCAGAAGTAGAAGCATAAGCATCAAGGATGGAATTTACAGTCTGTATTTCAGGGATGGTGGCCTTACAGAATAGGAAGCTGTCATCAGCAAATAGAAGGTGCGATACAGTGGGGGCTCCACGAGCAATTTGAATGCCGTGGAGTAAACCTTTTGCTTCAGCATCTTTGATCATCGCACTTAGGCCTTCGGCAATGATAATGAAGAGTTATGGGGAGATGGGGTCTCCCTGTCTAAGACCTCTGATGATAGGTCTAATTAGTTCACCATCATGAGAAATGTGATAATCAACAGTAGTGACACATTCCATGACTAAAGAGATCCATTTGTCATCAAAGCCAAATTTACGCAGCATAGCTTGGAGGAAATTCCATTCAACGCGGTCAAAGGCCTTGCTCATGTCCAGCTTAAGAGCAGTGAAACCGTCCTTGCCTTGTCTCTTTCGCTTCAAATACTGATGGGTCTCGAAGGCCACCATGATGTTGTCTGATATCAATCTTCCGGGCACGAACGCACTTTGATTCTCAGCAATCACCTTGTCCAAGAGGGTTTTTAATCTGTTCGCCAAAACTTTCGAAACAATCTTATATGCCACATTGCATAGAGCAATGGGGCGAAGAACTCCCATGTTTTCCGGTATGGTCTTTTTAGGAATTAGGACTATATGAGTGCTGTTAAGACCATTAGGAAGTTTCCCAGAAGCTATAAAATCATTGAATAGATAGTGATATCATTGCCAATAATATCCCAAAAAGCTTGGAAAAAGCCGGGATTAAAACCATCCGGCCCTGGGGATTTGTCGGGGTGCATTGAAAAGACAGCCCGTTTTACCTCGTCCCCGTTGGTGGGTCTTAGAAGGAAATGGTTTTGAGACTCCGTAATTTTCGGCTGAATACAATTGAGGACCGGGCTAGGGTCACCAATAACCAAAGTGAACAGAGAGGAGAAATAATCAAGCATTACATCATTAAGAGCCGTTCCCTTTTCAAACCAGACGCCAGCAGAGTTCTTCAACTTTCTAATGGCATTGTGGCTTTTCCTTTTTGTGACATATTTGAGGAAATGGTTTGAGTTTAGTTCCCCATTCTTGTGCCAAAAAGCTTTTGCGCGCTGCTTCCAGTAAGTGTTCTACTGGTGGAGAAGGTGGATACAGTTCTTCTAGGCGGTGGAGAAAGCGAGGAGGCCGTTGTTGTCCGTTCTGTGTCTGAGAGCATCCATCTGTTTAAGGCACTGCTTGATTTTAGGCTTAAAATCGGAAGTCAAATTTCTGCCCCAATCCCATAGAGCTTTTGCAAGTATCAAGTCTGGAGATTAGGTTTGCTCCCGAGAGGCGACCCAAGAATCAATAATAAGGGCTCTACAATCTGATTCCTTAATCTAGAGATTCTCGAATCTGAACTTGGATTTTCTTCTGGCCTTAGCGGTAGGAATTGGATTCATAAGAATGGGCAGGTGATCACTAACCAGGGTGATAACAGATTCGGCCACTGCATTTTCAAAGAGACCCAGCCAAGAGTGGGAGACAAGGACTCAGTCAAGACATTTTTGGACCCAGTTAGGAGTGCATCTACCTCTATCCCAGGTGTATTTGTGGCCATGAATTTGAAGGTTAGAAAGGCCGGCACTGTTGATTGTAGAATTAAAACGCTCCATACGCCAACGAGGTTGGGGATCTCGACCAATCTTCTCGCTAAGGCATCTAATATCATTAAAGTCACCCATGATGACCCAAGGAAGCTGGCTATGCGTAGAAAGATCGTGGATGATGTTCCATGAATCACGTCTCTTGGAACTTTCAGGATGCCCATAGAAGCCTGTGAATTTCCACTGGTGCGGAATATGCTGGAAAGACAGATTGACATCTATATGGTTGATAGAGTAGCTCTGGACATCTACTGAGATATTATCAGCCCACAAGAGGGCAAGACCTCCACTGTGTCCATCACAGTTTACCACAAAGGAATTCGAGATGCCCAGTTTGGACTTTAGGGTTTGGATTTTGTTGGATGATAAAAGGGTTTCCATGAGAAATATGAGGATGGGCTTCTTGAGATGGATCAAGTCCACAAGGAATTGAACTGTAGCTGGGTTCCCAAGCCCGCAACAATTCCAAGCTAGGAGACTCATTGATCTAGGCGGGCCTGGGACACAGGACCCGCCTCTAACAAGTTTTTTGACCCGCCCGAAAAATTAAATACCGCCTGCTGAATAGTGAAATTAGTAACATGAACTGGCCCAAAATCCGGTTTCTTCCTTTTGAGTCCAACGCTGTTATTGGTGTTAACACTTGGTGACCAGAGGGTAAGCCCGATACCCGGATAATCTGATGCTGGTTTGTCGACTTGCATTAAATTATGGCCATGCGACGGCAGAGGGTGATTAATGAACTGCGCGGCTCCAGACTAGGGAACTGAGGACTGGGGGACAGACTGATCCTTCTGAAATGTGGTTTCCTCAAGAGGAATATCTGTCTGTTCTGAAGAGATGTCAGGGTTGAAAGTATGCTTTTGAGTTTCTCCTTCCGTCTTACGACGAGGTAGCTCCGGGAGCATCCACTGTTGACCAGCACACGGTTGCGATCTCCGACCGGTGGCCCTGAGGTCTGGACTGTAAAACCTCTCAACGCTGCCTGGGTTTGAGTCGAAAAGGATGTCACAGGACTTCTCATTGTGTCCGATTAGCCCACATATGAAGCAGAAGGTTGGAAGTCTTTCGTATTTAAACTCGATGTAGAAGGAGTCACCCTTGGGAGGTTTAACCTTCATCTTTCTTTTGAGGGGTTTTGAGACGTATAACTGCACTCTGACCCGCATGAAATCCTTCCAAAGGCCTTCTAGTTTCTCTGTGTCTGCCGTTATGAAGGAACCAAAGAAGGCTCCAATCATTTCAGCAATTTTCTTGGTTTGCATTGATTGGGGAATATTGTAAGCTTGGACCCAGAGATCTGCATGAGTGAGTTGGATTCCATGAGGGGAGGTGTTTGGCTCGATCTGTTTGAGAAAAAGGGGACTTTGCTCGTAAGACCAGGGACCCTCGTTGAGCACCTTTCGTATATCGAGTTCATGGACGAAGTAGAATAGGAAAAGATTGGTAGAGATTTCCCTCGCTATCATACCTCTTTTGGGTCTCCATACTGTGGCCATGGTGTCCTTTAGATAGTTAAAACGTGTGGATTTCTCTGTGAGAAGCTTACCGAGCAGGATGAAGGGGGTTTCCACCAGAGTGTCGGAACTGTCACCCTCTTCAATAGAGAACTCAACTTCCTCATCGTCTCTAAGTGACATTGATGCATATTCTTTTGCCAAGTCAATAGGGTGGTTGCAGCTGGAGGCCATATTCGGATGATAGAATTTACGGTAAGTTGTGGGGAGATTTGCTGTGGGGGATAGGTGATGTCGTTGAGTTGGGGACATGATGCACGTATAGTACGAGGTTGTTGGAGAAATGAATGAAGGGTAGAGGAAACAGTAAATACAGAGAACGGGGATAAGGAAACAGATCAATGAATGTTGGGATTGAGGAGAATCTGGTAGGTGAAGGAGAAGTAAAGGCTCATCAATGAAGATGAGAGGAAGAACTCATCACCAGGATGAGAGGAAGAACTGCAGCACTGGTAAACTACAGCTGGGATCCCTTGACTATTGTAATTTCTTTGTAAAAGTCCCTTAATTACTTTTTTTGCTCAATTTAGTCTTATAACTATCAAAACCTTACCTAAAGTATTCCTAAGTTACATTTTACGTTAACTCTTCGTAAAGCTAGGAGTAAATTCGTCCTTTCAATCCGCGATGGCATTGAAACTCAAGGAAAACATATAATTTTTCGATATCCGCCATGTTAACAACCATGACAACAAGCATGCTTCGCTCGTTCAGCACTCCACCGTGACCTCGCACGTGCGTGCGTGTGTGTAAATTTTAGCCCAAATATGTTTACTATTACAAAAGTTAATATTATAGGTATGTTCTTTTAATAAATTTCATCTTTGTTTCTGTAAAAACACACACACACACACACAAAATATGTACCTTGGTTCAATTCTTGCAATTAATTTCAATTGAGTTCTATAATCAATAATTGTTGATTATGACATCACATATAATTAATTATAAAAAAAAATATGAACAATGTTGTGTGTATAGTTATTACTATTTCATAGATCAAATATAAAATGATATTTCCTTTTAGAAGGAATGTGCCGTAATGAAGGGAACAATGATTTCAGCTGGAAACTTGAACCTAATGGACGTTGCTCGGTCAGTACTGCTTATGATATTGCACTCAAAACAAACTCTGGGGATAACGATCCTATCTGGGCTAAAATCTGGAAGCTAAAACTGCCTAGGAAAATCAATACGTTTGTCTGGCTTCTAAAACATAGGAGGCTAATGACCAATGTGGAGAGGAAACGGCGAGGCTTCACGGTAGATGCAAGATGTACGTTCTGCCACGTGCAAGACGAAGATATATTGCACTGCCTTCGACACTGCGATGCGGCAAAGGAACTATGGGAAGTTTTCATACCTTACAGGGCTAATAGGTGGTTCTATCGTGTGAATTTTGATACTTGGCTTAATCGTAATGTAACAGGTAAAATCAAAGGCGTAAGAGATGGAGACTGGACAGTGCAATTTGCGATAATTGCATGGTGGACTTGGAAATGGCGTTGCAGCAGGATTTTCAAAGATGAGAATTGGAATGTGGCAAGAAAAGTTGACTGGATCAAGGATCAACTGTTGTATGTAACTCAGGCTTATGCCCGACAGAAGCCGCCTAAGGCAACTTTACATAAGACTGTGGAACGAAGGATCACCAAACCTGACTGGGTAGTGCTCAATACGGACGCTTCCTTCTTCCCTTCGAACTACATGACTGGATGCGGAGGTATGCTCAGAGACTATAACGGGAAATGGATCAAGGGGTTTAGTTGCATGATGAGAACTGAAAATGCTACTGAGGCAGAGCTTTGGGCGATTTACTTGGGGCTCAAGTGGGCTTGGAACCAAGGGAACCGGAAGATCCACCTTCTGAGTGATTCCAAACAAGCGGTAGAGTGGCTCAATGAGCAACGAGATATACTGGGCAACTGCGGGATCTTAATTAGATGGTGCAAGGATTGGATGAAGAAAGATTGGTCAGTTATTGTTGAACACATCCCCCGTGAGGATAACAGGGGGGCAGATTGGCTGGCCAAGGAAGCCCCCAGAAGGCATTGCGATTGGTTGGAGTTTCACCTTCCTCCGAGAGAAATTTGTGATAAGCTGAGTGCCAATGGAGAAATCCATGTGTCTACTAACGTTAGACATTAGCGTCAGTTGGGTACTCCCCCCTTCCTTCTTCCCAAAAAAAAATATATATATAAAATGATATTTATTTTAAATATTTATTGGTTACTATAAAAAAATTTTAACATATATATGTAATTCTACTTTATGTAGAGCATAAAATGCGAATGGCAAAATTAAAGATATTGAATTACATGGCCATCCACGAGTTTTTTATGGATGAAATACTAAATATTTACTTAACATGTAGTGATAAATTGATAATATTTTTAATTTTCGTATAGTGCATCGCATTGGTGGCCCTGACATACTTTCTTAACCTAATGAAGGTCAAAGAGTCAACAACACCTCCACTGAGGCTCGATCTCATAACCTTTCACATAAAAGAGATCACTACATGTCATCTGAACACAAGGTGTTTGGCTTGTTATATGTATTTAATTTGTTATTCTTCTGCATTTAGTTAATCATGGGTCTGATCATGGCATAATGTCAGTGCATTATTTTTCTCTTCGTCTATTACTCTTTTTTTTTTTTTGGAAGCAAAGCAAAGATTAAGTCTTTGCTTATCATTCATAGATTAAGTCTTTCATCACAATATTACAAATAAAAGGAGGGGGGTGGGACACCCATTCTTCGCAATTTGACTTAGAAATGAACTTCTTTATTCCTTTTCATTATTCGTGAGTTTTTCTCTCTACACACTATTGTAAATTTTTAAAAATTTATTCTCTAAAAATATAAGCTTCCCATATATATTTTTTAAAAAATAATAAGAAAAATAGTCGATCGTGTATTGATAGGTGCAGTGCATGGCCTTGTTGGAATTGAAAAATGTGATGATTATAATAAATATAATAAAACTTTTTAAACAAGTCTGAAAAAAGAATATGTTTTTGATTGAGTGCATCCAAAGTAGCAGCAACGGTAGAACCAAAACAGTTCCATGTACTTGTACATACTAATCATTCACTAATTCCCCACTCATATCATTTAAATAATTAATACTTTAATACTTATCTTTCTGGCGATCGAAAACCGAGCTTTGGGGTTATTACTCGCTCTGCCGATTCTTCTCTTATTCAGTGTCCGAGCATGCTGTGTCAGAATGTCACGTTCAAGGGTTCAAAAAATATATATTAAAGAGTTCCATTTTTTATTCTAAATTTATAAGTGAAAGTCGATTTTTTATTTTTTTACAAAACATTCTTATTTGATCTTAGTATTATTATAGGATGATCATTTTTATCTCTCATCAACAAAATCGTTTAAATTTTGTAAAATACAGGAACATTTAAATCTTTATTTATCAATTTTTTTCAAATAATTAAAAAAATATAGCAGGTCAACTCATTTTGTATTAAAAAAAATCGAAATGTCATTGTATTTAATGACATTTTAACAATTTTGTTGACGGAAAACCAAAAATAGTTATGCCACAATAATAATATGACCAAATAGGGATATTAAGAAAAATAAGAACTAAAAGTGGACTCTCACCTATAAATCTATGATCAAAAATGAAATTAACTGTAAAAAATTACTTTTAGTCTGAATTATTATGACATTATTACATTTTGTTTTGTTTTTTTTTTTAATTTTATTTAAGAAAAAAATTATTTAATAGACTCTTAAATTTTATCAGAAAAGTCAATTAGGTCTCTAAAAATTTTAAAGGTGCAATTGAACTCATTAATATTTTATTTTGGTGCATTAGAGTCAAAAACTCTATTATTGACCTGTAATAGCAAGTCACTAGGGTTCCGGCAACCCTCTAGGCTCTAGCGATCCTCCGACCAACTCCGCTGAGAAGGCAATCTAGTTGCCTTTTCTGTTGACGGAAAGATAGCCAGAACCTAGTGACTTGTTATTATTGATCACTAATCGACTTTTCGACTTCAATATACCAAAAGAACATGTTAATGAGTTTAATTGCACATTTAAAAAATTTAGAAACCTAATTGACTTTTCTGGTAATGTTGACCATTTTTCCTTTATTTAAATATGTCATTAGGTTTCATTTGTTTGTCAGAACTAGTCATTTGTTTAAATTTGTTATTTAATCATTTAATAAAGATGGTTAACATATAACTTCATCATTCAAGTATCTTTCTCTAATATATGATTTCTCTCATACTCTTTTAGACTCTTTTAATTGAATTAAGAAATTACATGTTAATTAGCTATCGTTATTAATTAAATAGTGAAATGGAAAAAAAAATGACTAATTGTGACAAACAAATGAAAGTTAAGGATGTAAAGTGATAAAATTAATATATATATATATATATATATATATATATATATATATATATATATGACTAAATGTGATAATGTCACAATAATTAATAACTAAAGATAGAATTTGTTATTTAAAAAATAAGAAAAAATGTCAAATAGGTCACTGAACTTTTACACATAGTGGAATTGAATTATCAAACAAAAAAAGTGTGCAATTGAACTATTAAAAACTCAAAAATTGTGCAAATATCATTTTTTACATGTTACTTCCAAGTTTTCCTTAAATATAATGTCATAATGTCAAATTATATATAAGAAATTATTTTAATTATTATTTTTAAAAATTAAAAGAAAAAAATAATTTTTTTTAAATTTCAGAAGACGGTGGAGGTAGTTATGGCGGCCTCCACCTTTGTCCTGGACGAGGATTGAGGCAGTCATGGCTGTCTCAATCTTTACCTCGATACTACTCAAATTTTTTATGTAAATACTTTTTTTTTTTTTGGAATTCACATAATGAAGATAACTTATTATTATTTATTACGTTAAAAAGTAAAAATGAACAAGTAAAAATTTAGAGTATAAGTATGTGATAGAATTTGTTATATATACTGTTGTAATATGTAGAAACGTTGAATGAAATTAAATATTTTTTTTCCTTTTCTCTTCTTCTTAGTATTACTTTGAGCGTTGTTAAGAGCATTAGTTTACAAACGCGTACAATTTCTAATAAAAAATTTTGTATATTTTTGTTTACTGAATTATACACAATTAATTAATTAATCGTTATAGTCTTTGCAAATTGTATC